ATCAATGATGCAATGTATCTCATCATCAATAATTCATCAGGATGTGTCGTTATCTAACATCTTGATTATTCACATAAATTTCTTATTCTTTTGCCCCTTGTTTTTTTACCGTGTAATCATTGATTTTTTTATATTTTAGCGACATGCAAATTCGACTTTTTTGAAAAGGTCAAAGGAGTACAAATTCAATCAAAAGAGGATAAAGTAAGACATTAACTTTAAACTTACGATTTATGGAGATGGATTATCTCTACCACAGAGGACGATAATATGTTAAATATATATTGTTATATATGATTTTTATGCAGTATTTGATATATTTAATAATTTCAATGCAGAGGTTTTTCAACCTGGTTTGATTTACACATAAGCTAAACAAGCTTAACACCTTGGGGCTTCATATTTTTACATGTATCATTGTTTCATATGTTATAAAAGGGGAGGGAAAGGGCCTTTTATGTGTTATAGCTTAGACCCAAACAATAAGTCCAGTCCTATAATGATGTACTGTACAACAAACTTTTAGGTGTATAGCGAGATTCCATGATATTTAATCGAATATTTAGGTATCAGGTATGCTTTTGAAGTAGGCAAAGATATTCATAAGAGATAGGCCCTTAATAATTATAAATTTTCTTTAGAAATTGACAATCCTATAGAAATTATGTTCGCATGTTTACCTAAATGCGCTTTCAATAACCATGCAAACATAATTTCTGTAAGATTTCTACTTCTTATTGGATGATGAGAGTAAACTGAATGATTATTGAAAGGATCTTTCAATAATCATGCAGTCTCACTTATATAAAATCGATATTTAGGAAGCGTAAACACCAACGACGATAAAAATACACAGAGGAAAACGACGTTGAAATATATTATATTTGAACAGAGAAAATTCGAATGCATACAAATTAAAACAAAAATCGGAATTAAATGTTTAATTTATCACAAATTACAATATTCTTCTGCTTCTTTCCAATATCCTTCCTCGTATAATTAATTCTACTGAAATATAACCTTTCACTTCCCTTGTCTGCAACAAAGTTATGATTAATTATAATATATTTGGATGAATTAAAGTATACCAGAACGTTAATACCCCCATATCTTAATATAACACAGACATATAATTATATAAGCCTATAAGATACATCATTTCTTCCTAAGAGAAAAGGATGATGCTCGGGATGAGGATGAAGAAGTATCCTATAGATATTAATTTACAAAATAGGATTTTATTACTGTTTAAATATCGAAATGGATGATTTTCACAGATGCAAACCGTATCGTGATTGGTTAGATTTCCCTTCTCTACTATCTATTTTCCTGCCAAGACTTTTAATACTCGTTTCCGCTTCTATCTACTCAGTGGAACCAATGCGTATCGTCTTTTAAAATCACCTTTTTTTTTTCCTAGAAAAATGCCGGAAAACCCCCTAAAAAATCGTTAGAAAAGAGTTATTAAGCCAACCCTCGAAGAATAGCACCGAATTTTATTATATTCCACAAAATATAGGCCTATAAATCTTCGAAAAACCTATATAAAACGATTAAATATTTAAATTTAAATATTTTAAAACAAAAGTTCTCTTTGTTTATTTTAAAATTTAACTTTAAATTAAACTTTTTATTTAATTGAGAATTAAAAAAAACTTTTTAAATTGTAGTTTAATGTGTTAAGTTTGTTTTCTATTTTACAAATTAAAACTACATTTAAACAACACAACTGGAGTAAATTATATTAAGTTTATAAACTAAATTTTTTTTTTTAATTTTAAATAAAATAAACATTAAATTAAGTAAATTACTTTATTATTATTTTTTTTTCTTATAAATTTTAATTAAACTTTTTAAAATTGATTAACTTAATATAAGAAAATTAATTATTCTTTTTTACTTTTATGCGAGTTTTCTAGTTTATAAAAATTAAGAAAATTATTATTATTATTATAATAAACAGCTTCTAATTAGCATATAATTAATATAATCTATCGTATAGATTATATATTATTAAATTTTAATTAAAAATATATATTTTATTTTTTAAAATTTAATATGAAAGTTGCGTGAGTTCTAGCTTTAAATTATCTCTTGGGATTTTTATACGACAGAAAATATAAAAATAATAAATTTTCTTTTATTTTTTTAACCGTGAAAATCCGTATTTAACGCCAATTTAAACATGTTTAAAAAAAAGATTCTTAAAATAATATAATTTAATAATTATTAAATGAAGTGGAAACAACTTATCATTTTTGCTCTTGATCTTCTTTATGGAAATTCGCTATCATCCTTTATATAAATCAAGGATTTGTACAGGAGGGTGCATTAATTTCTCTGTAAAATAATTCCCAAGATGTATTTGAAATATCACAACACTCAGATTAGTGCTTTTATCTCGTTAGTTCCACTGCTATCAAGGGAACATTTCTGTTATTAAATGTTTACTCTCATCTTTCCACTGAACAATTCTTGAAGTGACTAAACTCCTCTTTTCTTTGTATTCTAGTATTTTCTACTTTCATTCAATTGTTTTATATATATATATATAGGCCTAACTGTACCCACACCACTAAATAATTTAATATTTTTTTCGTTTCTTAACGTTACTCCAGGCGATCTAGCGACAGACTTATGTCGATTTTTCTGTCTTTATATTAAAAAAAATCTCTGCTTAAAAAGATGATAAACATTAAATAAGATAAGGTACAAAACTATTTTCTTTAATAAAATTATAATATATATGTTAAAATCGAGAAGAGAATGAATTTTTTTTTTCTTTGGTCTTCTCTCCCTCCCTTCATCTTCTTATCTTATTCTATAAAGGAGAGATCCTATTTAATGACGGTTAAGGAAGCAGTGAAGTGTGACGTTTCAGCAGCTGTTCCATCATTTGTTAATTAATTAAAGGATGCGAGTTTATTAATCGTAGTTGACAAGTTTTATTATCTTCCTGACAGTCAGATGGTAAACAACTTTGTGAGATTCTGCACTTCTTACTTATAGTAGATTGCTTGTCCTTTCATGTTAGCCTATATTCCTTTACCATAATTATATTATTCGAAAGAAATGACAAACTTACATTTTGACTTATCCAACTACGTTTTAACTCGACTTATCATTGATTAAATCGAATTTATTTATACTTTTTGACCCTAAAAACTTAATTTTTCTTTTACGCTGGAAAGAGCGCAATCCACTTCAAATTCTGTATTAAATTTAATCAATTAATAAATAATTTGAAATGGAATGCGTTTTTCTCAAGCATAAATTTAATTAATCGAGTTATATTTTACTATACTACACTTTAATTACGATTTAAGTACATACGTCTACTCTGTTTAATACAGTGCTAAATTGCTTAAATTTCTTAATTTATTAGGTTAAATTTAATGATGGGACGGAGAATATAAATTTTTTAAGTTAATTTTTAACATTTTTGTAAGGTTTAAAACATTTTTTTCGAGACAAAGTTTTGCCTAATAAGCTGGAAAGTTGAGCAAATATAGAAGAATGGAGAAAATTGTTTATCAGACAAAATACATAAAGGAGCTTATCTCACGTATAAAGTACGAAATATCCAGTTATTCTCAAGTAAATATCGAATTTACTTTGAGTTACGATCACGTTTATTATGACACAAACTTCTTCCCTTACGCCATATCCGGTCAGTATGTCAAACTTGAATGGAGCTTCCTCCAGATTTCGATATCTCTAATGTCTCCAGGTTTACTCAATAGATAGCACCTAAAAGAAAAACCTCTTACTGTCGCCTCGTGCTATACATTTTATCTTTATGATGCAAACGCAAGCAATTTATCACCAAATTTGAATTTTATGTAATGTATTTTTCCTCCTTCTTAATGTACGACGATGACAACATAATCGTGACGTATCGAAAATTAAGACAAACGTCAAGAGAATTTTTTTTACACTTAAAAGAAAAAAAAACAAACCAGCAGTAAATGCTAATAACGAGTAAAACCTCACTCCAGATACGACACGTGACCTCTATCTTTCCCTCTATCTCTCCACCCCCTCGACCTTTCACCACCGAAATTTAACAACATCGAGGTCCCTAATATTCGAACGTCCCTGCAAAATTTCAGAAATTTTCGACAAATGGAACAGGAGTTATTAAACTTTAAAGTGGGCAAACAGAATCGTACTCCCCCCCACACACACACACTAACATTTACAAATACAGAAACCCCCCCAATGTCCCCGAATCAAAACTGTAAAAATATTGGGGGGTATCTTCTGACCGATCGTCATACTTTCCCCTCTGTTATATATAACAGTAATATAACTAGGCATGTAAATATATTACTTAATATAAAAGGTATAATCGAGGGGGGATGCGATTATTTATACACACATTTTCTTAGTTTTGACGTCAAAGATAGATTCGTAAAGTGAATTTCCATCAACGAAATGATGACAAAGTGCTGCTTTACACACGTTTCCATTGTTTTTTCCCTCCTCCTACCCCCTATTCTCCTACTAACAATTTTTGTATCAAGTGTCGAAGTAGAAGGGAGGATAGAGAAAGGAAAAGAAAGAAAGTAATTCACTGATGTGATGTAAAATCGTTCTTACTCCTATCCGAACGTTGATATGACGAGATCAAAATTGATTTTGTTATGCTTTAAGTCTTTGTTTTTTTTTTTAACCATTTCTTTATGTGGAATAATGTTATCAGATTGCTGGAAGATTTCTTTTGTTATAAAGGAAAGGATATAAGGGCAACTATTCTCTACTTAAATCTATTTTAAAGGTCGTAATTTCCTAACTATTAATAAACAAAAGAACCGTCTCCATTAAATGTATTTAAGGACCCAATAAAAGACTAAAATTAACTCCTTCATACGGATCAAAGTTAAAGGAAGTTTATACGAAAAGAAAAATATTTAATTTATGAATATTTTTTTGAATATAATAAAAGGAGAAAGTATATATATTTTTTTTTTACGAAAATGAATTATTCTGTGTTTCAGGTACCACGACGAAGACCATGCCAACCTGCTGAATACAATGTGGTTGACAGCTATAACATTCCTATCTGTAGGATACGGTGATATTGTACCGAATACATATTGTGGAAGAGGAATAGCTGTCAGTACAGGTCTCATGGTAAACATCACTTCATATCAATTATTCGCTTGTATATTGTCAAAATTTTAATTAATTAAACATTAAAACTTAATAAACTAATTAATTAGTTGCAATTATTAATATATATATATATATTTTTTTTTTTTCCTGTTCCATTGAAGTAATTAAGGTA